GGAGGTTTCTTCATAAATAATCAAAGTTCTCATCCCCAATTTCAAGCCAGAAAATCAATTGTAAGTCCCTTAATTTAACTTTTTAAAATTTTAATGTTGTTAAAATACGGGTAAACTGGTAAAGTTGTTGTCATGTGACCAGGAGGTTACGGGTTCGAGCCGTGGAAACAACCTCTTGCAGAAATGCAGGGTAAGGTTGCGTTCAATAGACCCTTGTGGTCTGGCCTTTCCCCGGACCCCGTGCATAGCGGGAGCTTAGTACACCTGGGTTGCCCTTTAATGTTGTGAAAATACGGCGAATTCAGAATCTAGAATCTAGAATTAGTGAGTTCTGAATGATTATAAAATCTTATTATATGTTTGTATACTTTACGGTAAATTCTTTTTTATATATTTATATATTGTTAAACGTGAAATCAGCCAGCAATGCTTGCATCGGAATAGACTGCTTACATCACATCCCTTGGGGTGCGGCCCTTCCCCGATCGCTACGTGAATACGTGATGCTTAACTCTGTGCACCAAACTGTCCTTTTTATATTTTGTTGAATGTGCAGAACACGTCCTAGATCTGCCTCTAACTTCCGACTTAATTTGTAGGAACGTTTTGAGGAATCAAGAAGTGGCCATACAATGAAAAGTCATAGCAGAAGGCTATCTGCATCATTTGAGGCTAATAACATAAATGCAAGTGAAGAAAGTGCAAAAATTGTGGAAATGGACACTGGAAGACCAAAGTCAAGATCAAGAAGAACGAACACTTGGGTTTCTTCTGATTCTTGTGATGATTCTTTCAAACCAATGCCAGAATTTGCAGATTTAGCCATAACAGCCCAAAGTACACCAAGGTTTGCAAATTCTTGTGGTTCAAACACACCAATTACACCAGCCAAAAGTGTTTGTGTGGAAAGCTATTATTTTAGGAATAATAATAATTATTATGACAACAATAATAATTATTATTATCCTAATTATATGGCTAAAACACAATCATTTAAGGCTAAATTAAGGTCCCAAAGTGCTCCAAAACAAAGGCCAGAGAATGTAATTTGTCCTAAGATGAAAAAAGTGTCATTAAATGAAATGATGGAATCAAGGGCTTCTTTAAGTGGTGTAAAAATGCAAAGGTCATGTTCACAAGCTCAAGACAAAATCAATTTCAAGAATACTATTATGGGTAAACTTGGAAATTCAACAGAGTTCACAAGATTGCAAGAAGGTGAAAGAGACTATTCAAAATGATGAAAGTTTCAAGACAAAAATATTATTCCAAATATAGCACTTTTTAAAAGGCTATATTGTGGTTAACCTAGAAAGAGAATACTAGTTGATAGAGATAGAACAAAGGGAATGTATATAAAGTTATAGGCATGATGTGATGTTAAGATTGCATTGAACAAGTTTTCGAGGTTGATTTTTAGTATTAGTAATTGTAATTATTAATCTAAAGCATGTTTTATTTAACGTCTAATCATGTGAACAATCATTTCCTTTGATTAATATTAGCTATTGTTACTAGCTTTTGACTGCCCAAGCCACTCTAATGTCGTATTGAAGAATACTTGAACAAAACTTGATATATGAAGTCCTCGTATAAACATATTAAAAAAAGTTTTCATATAAAAAGGCGGATTCAGGGATTTCAATTATATGAGTTCAACTTTTAAGATTTTTAGCATTGAACTCATTATATTTTTAAAGTTATGGGCTTATATATACTATTTTGTTATAATTTAATGAATTTTGAATCCGCTCCTGCTCATATGCACGTGAATTTAAGTTATATAAATTGACAATGTAATATTTTTTTTTTATAACAGTTTATCCTGTGATAGGAGGGGTTAGTTTTGTGGCGCGTTACAGATTTTTTTTACGTCAGTTCTTTATGAAGATTTTTATTTTTATACGTAAGAGTAAGAGATGTGAATATATAAAAAAATCTAAAATAAACAAGTGTAAGTTGACTAGAAGCTATAATTAAAAAAAAAAATATTCAAAAGTAAAATGCTTTGTTTATTCATTTGAATCATTAGGCAATTTCTGTTTCTAAATGAAGTCAATGTAAACATTTGAGTTCACAAATGCCAATGCCACTTCTTGTCCTTTACGTGAAAGAATCAAGTGTTTGTTAATAAAATGCATAAATAATTCCTCAAATTATGGGTAAAGTCAGTTTCATATTTTTTTGAAAAAAATAGGACAGAGTTTGTTTGTCACTACACCAAAATTCATGGTAGTTGGTTTCAAAATTCAAAATGTAAATGATTGGATAGAAGTTTGTTATTTTTGGCTGAGAATAAGATAACTTTCAACATCATATGGCAAACATATTTGTTTGAATTTATTTGTCATCTTCTGGTGTCACTTGTGACTGGTGAGAAACTAAACAAAAGTAGTATTTTCAGTGGGAGGCGAAATTTGAATTTTAAGTTTATGGTTTCAGAATTTTAAAAAATACATTGTAATGATTTTTAAATAAATTATTTATTTATATTAAGTAAAAAATTTAACACGATACATAATTTAGGCCAAAATTATTAGGTTCTGCTTAAATTCCTCCCCTGTTCGGTTTAGTTATAGTAGGATATATTTTATTTTTTTGATATTGTTAATTTAAATCCTTCTATTTCTTTTTTGTTTTGGTCAAAGCATCAATTTCGTACACATACGCCATGTTCAATTTCGTTGACGCTTCAATTTTCCAACCAAAAAAAGAAAAGAGACGCTTCAATTTTCCAACCAAAAAAAGAAAAGAGACGCTTCAATTTTCACAACTTTCCTTTTAACTACTGGATGCTCAACAAGCAGGGGCGGAGCTAACCCATCGAGTATGAATTTGGCCGAACTCAGTCATTTTGATCTAATCTATATATTTGTCCTAAAGAATCCATCAAAACTTGAACTGTATTCCCTTGTTCTCCAGGTGAGTGCCTAATATATATAAATTATTAATTTAGAATCCAGTAACTTAAAAGGACTAAAACTCCGAAATCATAAACTTCAAATCTTCGCTTCGCCTCTGTCAACAAGATTTCTAAATATCAATTTTTCTGTCCCTTGCAGTCCAAGATATCAATTAGAAGATTAGTTTATTCCACGTTTAGTTAAATTTTTTAATTCGGAATTAGTAATTCCGATTGTTATACCACAATTATGGTATTATTCTATCTCACATTGAGGGTAAAATAATAATTTCCGAATTACTAAGGGTCTGTTTGGAAAGCCAACAGGTAATTGGAATTGGTGTAATTACAAGGTAGTAATTACACAGCCTAGTAATTACACAGTTGTGTAATTACGACGACATGTTTGTTTGTCATAGTGTAATTACAATGTAATCACAAGTTTACTGTTTGGTTGCACAAGTGTAATTACACTGTTAGATTAAATTTTAAATGAAGTGATTATCAAAACTTAAAAGTTAATATAATAAATATATGCCTATAAATTTTTATAAGTATAAATGATATTATATTTGGTATTTAAGATATATATTTTTCGTAAATATATATTAATTAGTAGTCATATATTTATAACTAATATTTGAAAAATAATTTATATATATTTTACAAATTAATAATATTTAGTTTGGATACTTACAAAAACTAAAAACATACGTTTTGTAAGAACATCATGGAATTCATGTTTGATAAAATAAATTAATATTTATAAATATAATGTCATAACATTATTCAAATATTTGACAAAATAATCTATTAATTCTAACTAAACAACGAACAACATGCAATGTGAGCCAACACTACTAAACAAGTAAATTGGAACCATGAATATAACACAATTTCAAAATCCAAAAAAAAGAAAAAACATTTAACATGTGTCAAATTCCAACATAATAATAGTAAGTTTCACTACAACTTAAGATTAGGAAATGTAATAAGTTTATAATCATATTTAACAACGAAATTTCACTTTAATTGCATCACTCGTTATATGCTAAGTTTGTTAATGACTCATTATTTCTAATATTAGGGGATGCAATTTCAAAAAATAGAATAATAAAATAAATAAGAAATAAATTATAAGCAATCACATGGAATCACTAGAAGTAAAGGTAGAGAAATAAAAGATAAAAATGTACAAAGAAAAATAGTTTTAAAATTTCAAAAAAAAATTAAAAAGTATAATAATAGAAATAAAAATTTATGAAGAAAATAAATTAAAATAAAACAAAAAGGAAAGAGACTAAAAAGCAATCTTATAATTACACAGTGTAATTACTACCAATTATCACCTCCCCTTTGAGAATTGGAGAGTGTAATTACACCCCTCCAATTACACCTAATTCCATGTTGATCAAGCAATTACTTGGCCAAACAAACATGCCAAACTGTGTAATTACACCCAATTATATCCAAATACAATTCCTAAGTGGCTTTCCAAACAGGCTCTAAAGGTGGGATAAACACTACAATGACAAAAATGCCCTTCTCCGAGGCTTTTCTTCGGAAGTCCTTTTAAAAAATTGAAGGTTAAAATAGGAAATAAACTTTATCTCAACTAATTTAGTATACATCAATACATGTTTTATATTAAATCGTCCTTATATTTCATCTTTTTAGTTCAATAAATCAAACATCTACTAATAAAAGTAATTCGCGAAATAATCATGTCACTATTTAATCTTCGTATTATAATCTTGTCATTATAATCCCAAAAATCGGCCAAATTCAATGTTTACTCTTTCTTGCGAGTATATATAGATTATATATTGATATACACAACTATACAAATATAATACATGAATTATATATAGATTATACATTTGCCGGCCATTTTTAGTTTAAGAAATTAGGTGAGCAGCTATTTGGGTTAATTCTTGAATAACTTGTTCCTCAACCAAATAACCCCTAATGGGCTTAAATATACTTGAAAAAATGGCATGGTATAACGATCTACTAAAAGAGTTGGTATAAAAAAGCCCTAGCTTTAGATATTGACACCCTATAGCCCAACTTTAAGTTTTTCTTTTTCTTAATTGATATATCATAGCCAAAATTAAATCAAAAGTAATATTCAGCACATCCCCATCTCTCATTCTTTAACGCTATTCTTCTCTATCTTCCCCAAATTCCAGATTTTTCGAATCCCCCAAATCTCTCTCTTCTTCTCCGATAAATACTCGGTTATGGTTTCTTCTTAATCTTTTTCTCAACTATTTCTCTATATCAAGAGTCTTTTGTAGAATTTCGACGAGAATATCAGCATTCTTTCCAGGTTGAAAGATGGGCAAAAATTCAACCTCTAAGATATCAAAATCTAAAGTAACAGTGGTCAAATCTTCATCACTTCATATCGATTGTGACTCTGATTTCGAAGTTACAGTGTTAAAGGGATCGAGTTCACCACATGGAATACATATTCGACATGATAATCAAAGGAAAAAATGGGTTGATGCAATGTATACTAAAGACAAAGGGAAAAAATAGCAAATGCGTCTGGTATACAACAAAATATTATTGTTAAACCCAAAAAGAGAAAGGGTGTTAGCACGAAGGAAGTTGAACGTGATAAACATCCTTTAAAGGTACTTTTTTAATCTCAATTGATTTAATATATTTATTCGATTTATTTTGTACATAATGTTAGCTATAGTTCTTTTCTTTGTTGTGTTGTGCTTGAAATATTAGGCCGGGATCCTTTCTACTGCTTAAATAAAGTTATCAGCGAAACCTGTGAATTCGTGCAAAGCGTATTTAAGCACTAGCATCCTTGTTTAATGTATACTTAGATGCTATGTGAATATAGAAGTTGAAATAAAAGGTTAGGCACCATTCTTTTTGTTACCAGTTCTTGTTAATTCCTTTGAATTTTCAGTAAGAATTGAAAGATTGAATTTTTCCTAATTGGTGCTTGAGTGAATGTTACGCCTTTCGCATAAGTAGCTCCATATCGTGTTTACATAATGACTTTGGGTGGTTTAGATCCATATCGTGGTCTAGGAATTGGCAAGTGATCAGCTTATCTTGCCCACCTTGTTCAGAATGAATTTTAACTCTAAACTTTCCTCTTTCCCTTTCATGTTTAACCCATAACATTTGTGTATTGATTTAATCCCCATACTTAACTACATATTTTTTCTTAAACCTTTTTTATTTAGTATGCTTTTCTTTTATATTTGATTTCTGTTAAAATGCAGCAGCTAAAATCTAAGATTCATGAAAATGTATTGAGCTATTCTTTCTGAAGATGTGTAGCTGCAGAGAATTTGGTGATGTTCACTTTCTACGTATATGGCTTAGTACAATTATTATTTTTTCAAAATGTAGAAATGAAATTTTCATGTCGCATTGGATACAAAATTATCCATTTCTTGTTGGAGCTCACATACCAATATTGAGGTTGTTGATGAGTTAAAGTCGAAATCGACTGATGAGCAGATTCAAATGATTAGGAAAACTTGTTTCGGCTATTTCTTCGATTTGCCTCCTGTTATTGTTTAGGATCAGGTCATATGGTTCTTAATGTAGAGGGAGTTGTTTCAAGATAGTGATTATGAGTTTTACGTCAAGATCAATCATAATACCTTGTGTTTTGGGATTAGAGAATTCGCAATTATATCTGGACTAAGGTGTGTTGGTGTGGTCAACGATGAAGAAACTTATAGTGGATATAATAGGCTCAACGATGCTTACTTTTCTGATCGTGATAGAGTATCAAAGGATGACCTTATTGATTGGTTTATAGCAAAGAGATGGCAGTCAGATAATGACGCTCTAAAAATTTTGTTATTGTACTTCATATACACCTTCTTATTTTTCACAGTTAGTAAAAGATCATTTGTAAGTAATCGAAATTTTATCTGATTGAGAGTGAGAAATATGAGCAGTTTCCATGGGGAATGTTGTATTTGAATCTTTGATTGGTTCGGTGAGAAATAAGTTTAGATTCGTAAAGAGGTTTCATAGGTTTGGCAGTTTACCACTTGCATTGCAGATTTGGGTTTATAAGTGTTGTTCTGAAGTAGACCCTAATATTGCCATTTGCAAGCTGAGTGTCACGCATCCTAAAATAGAAAGGCCCGACTTTGAGAAATTATGCAACGGCGTGTTGGGAGAATCAAGGAACAAGGTAACATCGTGAAATTTATATTTGCACTTTAAAGTATTCTGTACATATGCTAAAATAATTGTGATATTTTTATATTTACACTAAAACACAATGATACACATTTCCATGCATAATAATATTCATTGTATGATGCTTGATATACAATTTTTGTGTAGAATTTTTGTACTTATCATCATAAATTGTTGACTTTTTTTATTTATTGTAGTTGGTGTTTACAAATATTTCTGCAACCGTGGGTGAGTTAGGTGCATTATATTTGCCCATGAATGTTGAATATGCTTATACAAAAAGGTGTTGTTTCTGAGAATGTTTGTGAAATTAATGTCGATGAATTTGGTTTCATAACTCCACCTCCGTAAAGGAGCAACAACCAGCAGCAAACAAATATAAATAGTAGTGCCCCTAATATCATAGTCTTTCGGAGAAAAAATATACAGTGAGTGACTATGAAAGGGTATGTTTGTTTTCAACTTACATTTGTTGAAGCACATGAATATTTTACCAATAAATAATTTTATTTTTGAACTCTGTTCAGTTGAGAAGGGAATTTGAGTCTTTCAAAAAGTATGTGATGTAGTCATTCGAGAAAGTATTTAATGATAATATACTCGCACACAATTTCGATCAAAGATCCAATGAGAATGCTTTTGAAAAGGTAAGAATTCTTTACCGTTAATATTTTTGAATGTTCATTCATTTCATTTTAATAAATGTAATTTTTTAGTATCGTGTTCTAATTGTGTTCAGCTTAGTAAGGAATTTTTTCATTCAAGAAGTATGTGATGGACTCTTTTGCTACATTATTTGATGAAAATAACAATATTCATAACGGAGTCTCTGCAAAGAGTGATGCAAAGGTATTCTAATCTTAAAAAGAATAATTTATTTAAATATTTTAAATTTCAACCATTCATATATTTATTTTGTATAATTTATGAAATTATCATATTTACTAAATGTGTAACAGAGTGTGGAAAGGTTGATGAGCATAGACAAGATTCTCCTAGTAACAATCACGATCAAGGTAATAATGATGTCGTTCATGTGCATGAGGCCACCCAAATGAATTTAGTTTGCCAAGACAACCAGGGAGATACCAGTGTTCTTCATGTTATATTTGGAGCAATGTTATATTTTCTTAATTATTTTACGTGTTTATACAATCAATACGTAAAGTTTTTTAATATCTTTTATGATATGTTTAAATAGACTAGCTGGATAGTGTGCCAGAATGTCAAAAAGATTTTCCTACGTTTGATGGTGGTGATATATCCGATTCCAAGGGAGTCTCAGATTGTTATACATGAACAAACTGCTGTGCAAATAGCTGTTGACGTGCCAAATGACCCACTGCTAATACCATCCTCAAGAATAAGACATATTGGAAAATATGAGGAGTCTCCATGTATAGGGTAAAATATGCTATGCCAAGTGGCCGCTTAAAAGAAAGAACGTGGAACCGAGGGTAATTATCCTGTTTGGCACCGTAGGGAATGAAACTCATAAAGAGGCAATAAATACCTTCCACCCAATGGAATTAATGAAGAATATTCCCTGGCATTAAGTGCAGCACTACCCGTTATAAGGAATTTGTCATTTATGCTCATCGTTACATCTTTATCAGTGGCCATAATAATTGACATTAAAGAAGGGCACGATCCTAGGACCTTGTTCCCTAGACATAGCTATAAATATTATGTTATCATTGTAAGGACACGAATTTTCTTTCAAACTAACACTACAATCTACTCAAAACTCTATATAATTTTATCTTCTTATTTTCTGTTCTTATTACTGTTCTTATTACTGTTGCGCCCGGAGGCTTCACTACCGGAATCCTTATTTCTGTCAGTTCGTCTTCATATCAAGGCTAAGTATTATATATTTCTTCAATTATCTTATTATTTCAGGATTGAATTAATTCACTTGTCTAGAAACTACGTATAAATTCAACTGTATCGTTTTACGGTTAAACAGTTTGGCGCCCACCGTGGGGGTCTAGATAGCCGTGTAATTAAGTTGATCCTTGCCTTTTTCACTAACGTATTTTGATTATTTTGTCTTAGAAAAAGTCATAAGAAATGACAGGTAACAATTTTAACAACACACACAATCCCGAGGTTCGAGGAGATCAGACTCATTTCGAGGATTCAATCAGTGACACCCACAATGAGGGAAATGATGCCACGCCGGTACACAACATGCGATATCCTCGACATGTTCGGGAGGCAACTCCCGTTGACAGTGAAGAGGAGCATGTTGTTGATGCGGTAAGGGTCCTACAAGAGCAACAAGCGATTATTCTGAGCCACCTCATGCGGTAGGATAAAGTTATGACGGAGTTGAAGCAGGCATTATCAGGGGCTTCCAATAACGCAAATAGGAGAGATCCAGTTCTTCTCGGTGCACCCCCATGTCGCGCCCCCTTTTTCTCGTGAAATCGGGTTTGTGACATTTGGAGGGACGACTCGTTCCTTTTGGGAACTGGGTTTTGCAATTTTGAAGAGTCTCCACCTAATGATTAGGGTGCATTAGGACACTAGAAGAGTTCGATTTGAATAACCAGAGATAGGGTAAGGGCTTGAAATTATTCTAAGGGGAAGGTGTTAGGCACCCCTCAGAATCCACTAGTATGGTTCCTGGCCAGACAATTATTTTGAATTTGGGTACAATTAGCATATAAACAAACAAGGCTCAAATAAGAGAGGATTTCATCATACAAAGGTTTGAAAGAGTAATTAGAAAAGCTGATTATAAAAATAAAGAGTTAAAATGCTGAAAAGAAATAAATAAAGAATAAAGGGAGAAGGGTCCTAGGTTTATTAATAATATGAATCACCCCACACAATGCCCGGTAATCACTCCTCAATGAGAGGCTACACGTGACATTATCGCGTGGTCATCATATCCATATCTACCTATCCCACCCCGTTAGGGTATTTAAAACGCGGATTGGTCTCGATTACTTATTGCATGCTATTACCCGCCCCAATCCTATCAGTCCTGGAGGCACTTAGGACTACTAATCCTAAAAGGGATTGGACTTATTTGAGGTTTCGAAAGGTAAAAATCTAAGGCGACATACAAAACACATATTGCACATTTTAGGGGAAAAACACATAAACTAACAGGGGCTCAATTATACCGAACATAAAAAACACATAATTAGCATGACTTTTCACATACTGTTTAGGTCTGATTAAATACTAAATGTGAGAGAATATTTAAAAGTTGAGGCAGGCTGGTTCATTAGATAATTCAGATAAGAAGTCCGAATCAGGCCTGCCTAATAGTTGTAATTGTTAAAACAGATTCAGTTTATAGTTTTATTCTATGGCTTGCCTAAGTGTTAAGACGGGATCCTATAGAGATGATATCTACTGAATTTAGAAGGTAATAAGACATTAAAACTCGAACAAATTGTTTAAAACCCTATAGGCATGATTGCTGAACTTTGGTTAAGCGAGGGATTCAGATTATTAAAGAGAGGCTGAACTTAAACGAAATGATTACAAGTTCTGCAACTGATAGTATCCATTACTACTGATTTTACATCTAACACTGAGTGAGGCGAATCAGATTTATTCAGAAGCTCCTATAGGCATGCTTTCTATGCATTACTGCTTTTAAACCTTATAGCACCAGGGTGCAGAAACTTGTTTTTAAACCTAAAGCATGGTATCTAAAATGTAGAAGCTTGTTTTAAAACTTATGGATATATCTAAATGCAAAACTTTGTTTAAAACCTTCTGCTATGCTGTTTATATGCAACTGAATATGCAGAATTAGAACATCCTATAGACATGATTTCTATATGTATTTGAATATGCAGAATTGTAATAGACCTATAGGCATGATTTCTATATGTATTTGAATATGCAGAATTGTAATAGACCTATAGGCACGACCTCTATATGTATTTGCATATGCAAAATTGTAATAGACCTATAGGCATGATTTCTATATGTATTTGAATATGCAAAATTGTGATAGACCTATAGGCATGATTTTCTATATGTATTTGAATATGCAGAATTGTAATAGACCTATAGGCATGATTTCTATATGTATTTGAATATGCAGAATTGTGATAGACCTATAGGCATGATTTTCAACCCTTTGTAAGCATAGTTACCCATCCCCTTTTTTCACTAGCCAGCCCAAGCGTTTATTACAACTTATTACAAGCCAGAATGAACAAAATTACATCAGAAAAAGTAAAAAAATACATCCAGAGGAAAGCCTGATTCTGACTTCCTGTCTGAATTATGAGATAGACCAACTCAAAGACCATTGATCCAAAGCCTTTCTCCAATTTGAGTGTGTCATAGTTTCCTAAGAGCCTCAATGGGACTCCGGGCAGTGCTCAGAACCAAATTGTATCAATAGAATAGGGACAAGTGCAGTGTGGAAGTGCCAGCCCTCAAGTGTCCAAGTTCAGAGAGAACTCAAAGTTCCCAAGGCAAGGCTCACAAGAGGGGGGCGGAACTTAAGTCTAAGAGAGAGTGTGAGTGAAGAAAACAGAGTTTTAAAGAACTAAGAAAGTATAGAAGAGGGAGGAAGGGGCCGGGAAACAGTCATAAACAAGTCATATAAAGGGTTCAGGGATTGGGGAAATTGCCAAAGAGCCTATGTACTTAGGCATTAGCTAATCCTGGGTATACACTGCAATAGAGAGTGCTGTTATGCTTACAGAATCAACAAGAATACATAACACATGATGGTGACATAGAGGTTATGATTCCAGGGGAATCAAGTTTGAGCCATAGACAATAATGTTTAATACTGTCATGCCTCAAACAAACCATTAGCATCAAACACATTGGGGTAGGGGGTTTGGGAGTCATAATAGGAGAAGATTATATCTTGCTAAAGTAAACGCTGAACTGAGCACGAACAGTAGGCAGACATGCAAGTAAAGGTATTAAATAAACACATTGTTTGTGATTGCTGAAAATCTTAAACAGGACATACCAGTTTCAAGGAAGCAAAATACAGTTAAAGCAGTAGCAGGACTTTGAAAAATAGGCCACAGTACAAGTAACAAGAGAGAATGCTTTTTTTTTTGAATGTGAGTGCGAGTTCAGAAAACTAAGAGTGTTCGTGTGTGTTGTGTTAATGAGAGTGCAGGGCATTTATAGTGTGAAAACAGGCATAAAATAAGGAAAGAAAATAATTATGGAACTGTGTATCAATTAAAAATCAATCAGTATAAGAACTTCCTTTAATTAAGGAGTTTAAACTTAAACGGTAATGGGCAGAAAACTTTTAAGGAAAGAAATCAAGTAAGCACCTTATGCAAAGTAGGCAATTAGGGTAAATACATAGGAGTTTTAATTAAGGGAAGAATTAATGAAGGATCTTTGAAATACACGGTTAACCAAATAAGGTAAGAAACAGAATACCAACCAGTACATAGTAAATCAAGGAGTCAGGGATTTGAAATAAACCAAGTCAGAAATAGGAGAATCGAAAGTCTAAGGGAAAGTTCTCAAATCAACCCAAGAATCAGGGAAATCAGTAAAACAAGGAAAGAATTAATTAGACTTGCACAAGGAGGTCTGAAATCAGTCCCAAATTGAAGGTCATCTCAGCATATAAAACAGTATATAAGTATTAAGCAGGCAAGGCTGAATTTAGGACAAAGAGAAACATCATATAGTAGCAAACACAGGTAGTCACATAGGTCGATTTCAGTTACTCAGTAACAGAGAAGAGAAAGTATCAAATAGCATGCCAAAGGGTAAAGTAAAAGACCTTATAGAGTTTAGCAGGAAGTTAGAATCATATAAAGAAACAAAAGATTCAGAAATTCAATCGAGCAGTAGATGAAACAACTTTCAGAAACTCGAATAGGTTCAAAGAAATTAGGGCTTTGAAACCAAGCAAGTTCAGAAATGAAGAACAAGCAAATCACATAGCAAATAGTCTCAAAACTCAAATGAATCCCCAAATTTAGGGCTTTCACCATCAATCGAGTGTAGAGATGAAAACAAGTAAATCAGGCAAAGAATACTAACGAAATAAGTTCAGAAATCTCAAAAAGGAACTAAGACTTTTAACATGCACATTCCAGTAGAAGAACAACATAAGCAACACAGTAGAGGAACAATCATAAAGAAACACAGTAGCAGAACAACGTAAGAAACACAGTAGAATATGTTTAAAAAATCAGAAGAACTTCGAAAATAAAGTAACAAAAACCCTA